TAAGGACAGGCAGTCCTTAACTTTGAATTCCAAGTTCAAAACTTAAGGACAAGAAGTCCTTAAGTTTCATTTCCAAGTTCAAAAGTTAAGGACAGTCAGTCCCTAACTTTGAATTCCAAGTTCACAAATTAAGGACAAGAAGTCCTTAACTTTGAATTCCAAGTTCAAAACTTAAGGACAAGAAGTCCTTAAGTTTCATTTCCAAGTTCAAAAGTTAAGGACAGGCAGTCCTTAACTTTGAATTCCAAGTTCAAAAGTTAAGGACAATTCCAAGTTCAAAATTTAATGACACAAAGTCCTAAAGTTAGACTAACTGAAAATACCATGATTTCATTCTCAATCTTTTTTTCTGCTACAGCTATTTTCTGATAAACTCTAGTAACTTCAGCTTGCAAATCCTTCTTAAAACTCTCTGATAATCTCTGAATCAAAAAAACATAAAATAAAAAAAAAGTGTTCGTAAGCAAGAAATAATCAAATAAAAAACTAATACTATTCAAAGGCAGAAACACATACTCTAACAATTTCTTTAAGTATGGCTTCGTCAAATTGTGTGGAAGAAGACCTTGAGCTTTGATCTTGTGAAATTGGATCCTCCACACTAAGAGGCTCTGTATCTTCTTCTTCAACAGGAATGAATGGTGACACCTCGATCAACTTAAACAACTATTATATAAGAAAAAGTAAACATAAGTATTCACAACTAAAACAAATAAACAAAAAAATAGATAGTGATTACATTAACTTACATTTTCATTATGGAAATATTTTCTACAAAGAGCATCAAACTGTGGAGACTTCATTTCAGAATAACATAACATCCGAGGATAACCAGATTCTTTGAAGTTCACAAATTATTTTTCTTGGAAAATAGGAAGTACTTCCATAATCCAAACACAAAAGGCAAAAGGAAAGCCAACTATAGTGTAGCTATCCTTCTCTTTATCTTTGTCTTTCTCCTTCTCAATCTCATTCTCATTTGGCTCAAACAACTCTTCAATGATTTTAATAGCGTCTCATAAGAAAGAGAGCCCCAGTTGAAGGAAAAGCAGAGTGCGTCATCGTCGATAATTTTCATTATCTGATCGGACACATTCCTATTCTTCCGCTTGCCCATCAAAACAGATTCAACAAAATAGATG